CCGACTTCTATCGGTCTAAGCCAGCTAAGCATTGACCCGACTGCGGATATCAGGGTAACAAGGATATGGTATAACAAAGGTAGACAAGGTATAATGCAACAACGGTTGCAAACAACTCCTGAACGTAATGCATCAATTAAAGTAAAGCAGTTAATTAATAATTGCAAACCGGGGAGAAAATGCTCCGGGGCTTGCCTCTCTTGAAGGAGCTTGGGCGGTGATCGGGGCACTCCAGAAGTTCCTCAACGTCCTCCTCGTCGGCTTCGGGCACCTCCTGCGGCTGCACCTCGAGCTGCTCCTCGAGCTCCTCGGGTATGACGACTGGGTTCTCGGTTTGCGATCCTGTATGATGCAATGTGCGTAAGTGCTTATGCAATCAGTGCATCGGATGAGATGAATACAATGGATATGCTTGAATGCAAGGTAGTCAACATCATCCAAAAACATATACTACAAGCACATGTCATCTACTGTCTTCTCTTCTACTACTAATATGCTAAGTCAACACATCTTATTAAATGCTTCAAAGATACACCAAAGCTTCACTAATTTCTTAATCACACATAAAGCAACACTTGATTAAACCCTAATTAATAATAATAGGTTTGAATAGCAACATGTATTTTTATTGTTTATAAAAATCTTAGAAAATTACCATAGCACAGTACTACCCTAAGTAGTCTACCATCAGATTTTCATGGTATTTGAATGAGTGGATTAGCCTACACAAAAATAACAAGCTATGGCATGATTATGAACATGAAAATATTTTGTACTATGAAAAGTGTCAAACAACAGAGGAAATATTTTTCCTATGTTCTACTCAGCAAATAATCACTGTACAAAAATTATCACATGCATGTTTTATAAAAATTTTGCTCTCTAGCAAAATTAACAGAAATCAGCCATTAAAGGCACTTGAACTACACCTCATAATTTTTCTATAGCACATGCATGACACATATTTTTCCTAGGAAGCACATTACATAAGAAGATTAACAAACTTAGAATCATATTTTTCTGAAGCCTATAGGTTTTTCTACACATTTTTCAAGTTATCAGCAATATCAAGAATTAATTAAAGCTCTACAGAAAAGTATCTTAAAAATAACATGCAATATTTTTATCATGTAGATCTGGTGACAATAAACCTAGCAAAATTTGTTTCAACAAATTTGGAGCCAAAATGAGTACACAAATATTTTCCAAAGTATTTAACAGAAATCTGAAAACTCATTTCTTAATTCCTTTTTAAAACCAGCCGACAAAGTTGCTGGGTGCACCCGGTGCTGTACACCTAGAGGGGCTGCCACGCGGGACCCGCGGTCAAGCCGGACCCACGCGTCAGCCGGAGCCGAGGCAGGGCCGCCGTTGACCGGCCGGCTCTCGCCGACGGCGAGGTCCCCGGCGAAACGGAGGACACCAACGTGCTCCCCATGACAAACCGCGTCGGATAGAGGTGAATAGGGAGGGGCGGTTCATGGGAGAGAGGCTCGCCGACGGCAATGGCGGAGCGGCGACGTGGGTCGTCGCCGGTGGAGAGTCTGCGGCCACGGTATGGCGAAAGGAGGCGCTCGAGAGACTCAACGTCGCGGTGTGGTGCTTGTGCGCGTGAAGGAAAGGCGGGAAGGGAAGCAGAGAGGGGGAGTCCACGGGAGTGGAGCTCACCAGCGAGCACGACCGCGCTCCGATGAGCAATTCCCAAGGAAGGGATGCTTACCACGGTGAAGTAACGCGAGCACGGGGTGCGCGGGGTGAAGGCGGAGCTGCTGGCGAGACGGAGTGGTCACCGGCGAGCTGTGGTGGCCGGGCGAGCCAAATCCGGCGAGGGAGCTGGTGGCGGAGCTCGTGGCGCACGCGGTCGCTGCTGCTGCTGCGGTCGCTGCTGCTGAGTGAGTGAGGGAGTGGAGTGGGGAGTGCAGCGCTGGCGGGCAGAAGAAGGCGAGCGCTAGAGGGCGAGGCAGGCCGTGGCTACCGCGCGGCGGGCGTCGCCGGCGCATGGTCTCCACGCGGCGGTCGCGCTCTGGCGCTGGTCGGGACACGGCGCGCGGGAACGGCGCGGTGCAGCGCGGAGGCAGGCCGTGGGCGCGAGGTGGGCTAGGCCGGACGAGCGGCGGGCGCGGCGGCAGGCCGAGCCGGCTTCGGCCGTGGGCCGAGAAAGGAGGCGGCGGCCCGCGAAAGGAGAAATCATTTTTCTAAATTTCCATTTTTAAGAAAATTTTAAATATCAGTTTTCAAATATCATTTTGAGCAAGAAAAAGACATCTTTTGAAAATGTCCCAAAAATGAAAGTTGCTTAGAATTTAATTCTCTACAACTTTGCTTTTATGACCAAAGTCCAATTCTTGATAGATTTTGAATTATAAAATTAAAGTCAATTTTAACTCAAAACCCTAATTTTTGGAGAATTATTTTTAAAGCAAAATTTGGCAATAATTTGAATACAAACTTTGCTCCAAAAATTGCGCTAAATAATTCTAGATGATTTACAATCATAGCCAAACATGTTTTACTAACCTAGCAAGCATAATTTGGGCAAACACAACTCTAAACAAGTGTATGCAACATTCATGTTTCATGAGCATGTTCCGTATGTTTCGAAGCAGGGTTTCAGTTATTATTTACATGATTAGGCATGTATGATTAGGATGTTTGTTGATGCATGATATGTATGATTTGCAGTGCCTAAATGCTGGTCATAACACCGGGGTGTTACAGCTGGTGGCGAGGCCAGAGGGCTTCCGCGCAAGGGCCCAGTGTCATTGGGCGCGAGCACACGCGCGGCGACCTTGATGACCAGATGGCGACCATATCATGGGTGCGGCAGTGCCCGCGTCGTTAGGCGGGGCGAACGGCAGAGTAGGAGCAGGAGTAGCGCGGGGGTGACCATCAATGGTGAAGCAGAGCGGGGAGCGGGCAGGCGGCGTCCGCGGCGGTGGGGAACGTTGCGATAGCCGACGTGAGATAGGAAAATGTGGCTCTGTATCTTTTTATTAGTGAAGGAACGAAGGTAGACCACAGCCTGTTGGGCCAGTCCGCAGGCCTGGGAAGAAGCGTCCGGGACGCACCAGAGTATTTCTGTTAAAATAATATACTAGAGCCTACCAATTCAAATAAATTTATTAAAAAATAGATTTTACAGAGAATTTAAGAAAAAAAAACTTTGTTTTAAGTCGAAGGATTGTTTTTGGGGTGACTGCGCCAAAGGGCCTCTAGTCCAACTAGTTAGAGTGTCCCGGCGGCACTTCTGGTTCGACTTTCCATGGGAACGAATTTCAGGCTGAGGTTAAAACAATCTCCTCGTCTGTCCTACGCCAAAGCACATGTCTAAGTACTGGCTCGTTCTCACAGGGCGACCCTGCCACCGTGTAAGGGTGGAGTAGGAGTTCAAAGACTTTCTAGGCCTATGTGAAAATGTCTTCTTCTTAATGCAATGTCTGTGGGTGGTTGTACCATCGCAGGTGCAGTTTTTGTGGTGACCGCTGGAGATGGGCGTGGGGACCTCTCAACTCCCAATGCCTTGTTTAGACTGGGGTTAGGAATCAGTATTTGGCACTGTAACACTTTCGTTTGTATTTGATAATTATTGTCCAATCATTGCCTAACTAGGCTCAAAAGATTCGTCTCGTAATTTACAATCAAACTGTGTAATTAGTTATTTTTTTATCTATATTTAATACTCCATACATGTGTCAAAAATTTGATGTGATGGAGAGAGTGTGAAAAAACTTGCAATCTAAGGCCCTGTTTGGCATGGCTCCAACTCCGGGTAGAGCTGCTCCACTCCAGAACTCCAAGTGGAGCCAGCTCCACTCTAGAACTCTAGAACGAAAATGGGGTGTTTGGCTAGATAGGTGCTCTCAGCTCCAAAAAAGACCGATTTTAGTGTGGATTGTCATTATTGCCCTTCGATTTAGGCCTCACTTGTCATCCTCCCTATCCCATCTTCTTCTTCGCCTAGATAGTTTTCAGATTGGATAGTTTTCACACTACGCATATCTGGGAGGCGGCCGAGCGTGGATCCGACGGTGGCAGCGCAGGAGCGTGCACAGAATCAATCGAGCAGATTACTGAACCATCACGTACAAATTGAACTGATTACCTTATCCGGGAATGGGAAAACAAAAAAAAAAAGCATCGCTGACAGAACAGAGGAACAAATCTGAAGAATTCGCACATCGCATGCAGACCAGAGCTTCCCGACGGGGAAGATGCTGTGGCTGTAGGCGAGCGCGGACTGCACGCCGAGGAACGCGCCGTTAGTGAGGCCACCCCCGGCCGCCGGCGTGACGAGCACCTCCGCGACGTCGACCCAATCGTCATCCGGTGGACCTCTCCGTCTGCGCCGATGGAGCTTTGGTGGTTTGGCCCGGACCCGCATGGCGGTCGCGGCACCTGGCGCATGGGAGCAGCACCTCTCGGCCGAAAGTGCGCAAAAGTTGCAACCTCCGCGCCACGCGCGGGAGGCCGCGGACTCACGCGCGTCACCGGCTCACCGCGCGCCATTGCCATGCGTCAGGCTCTGTACCACCAGCATTCCAGCCGCTCACCAGCGGGGTGGGGGCGGGTGTCGCGAGCCGCGTGGTGGACCGATGGGTGCCGATGTCGCCCCAAGCTCGGGCGCCCACCCGCTGCAGCGGCATTGGCCGTCTGAGAGAGGAGGAGAGAGAGAGAAATTTGGGCAAATGACAGACGATGGGGCTAAGGAAAGGAGGCGTGGGTAGGGGCTCGAGAAGAATAGATTGAAACGTTATTTTTTGTGTAACCAGTGGTATTGGTGGGTAATTACCCACCAACTCCACGAGGAGGTTCAAAAGAGGTTGTTTTGGAGCAGCTAAAGAGGTGCTCCAAAACTCCAGTTTCATTTGTACTACAGCTCCATGAAGTTGGCTACTACATGAAGTTTTGAAGCTAGAGTGTTTAACTGGATTTCTTGGTGAAGTTGCTGGAGTTCCGGAGTGGAGCTGTGCCAAACACGCAAAAAACAAGGCACAAGTGTGATGATCTGCTACCGTTTCCTTCTTCCCGACTGCACCTGTCCTGTCCCGAGAAATCTCGGCTACCTCCTCCTGATACCTCGCCGTCGGGAACCCAACTCTGCCCTCACCCCTCCGCACCAAGCTGCCGCGGCTGCGGCTGCAGCATCAGTAATGGTGCTGATCACTCTCGTCCGCGACTACATCGACCGCATGCTCCACGACATCCCGGGCATGAAGGTCCTCGTCCTCGACCCCCAAACCGTACGTGCGCCCCCTCCCTCCCCCGGGAGACCTCAGCTCCGGCTCGCGGCCCGCGGCCCGTGGCCCGCTCCTCCCCGGTTTTTGATCTGACCAGATCCCGTGCCCCCCTCCCAGGTTGGGATGGTGAGCGTGGTGTACAGCCAGTCGGATCTGCTGCGGAAGGAGGTCTTCCTCGTCGAGACCATGGACAACGCCTCCAGCTCCAGGGAGTCCATGGCGCACCTCAAGGCCGTCTACTTCCTCCGACCCTCCGCCGACAACGTCCAGAAGCTCCGCAGGCACCTCGCCGTGCCGCGCTTCGCCGAGTACCACCTCTGTGCGTCCTCAATCACCGATTTGCTTTGCTATGGAATTTTGGTGCTCTGGGGTTTTCCTTATTGATTGATTTGGTTCTCTTTTTTTTGTTAATTAATGGTTTGTGCCCTCGCAGTCTTCTCCAGTATATTGAAGGTCCCTCAGATTCAAATACTTGCGGATTCGGATGAGCAGGAGGTTGTGCAGCAAGTTCAGGTCAATGTTCCATACAATCCCTTTGCTTATTGGGAATGAATTTCAAATGCTGAGGACGACATTACCTTCTATATATCTATTTTTCAGGAGTTCTATGCTGATTTTTGTGCCATTGACACATACCATTTCACCCTCAACATACAAAACAACCACATGTACATGCTCCCAACGGTGGTCGATCCTCCTGGTATGCAGAGCTTCTGTGATCGAGCTGTTGATGGCATTGCTTCTGTCTTCTTGGCTTTGAAGCGCCGCCCTGTTATTAGATATCAGAGGACATCAGATGTTGCGAAAAGGATTGCACAAGAAACTGCGGTGGGTCAACTGTCATTGCAAAACATTGCTATTTTCAAGTCCCGAAACTAGATTGACTATCAATATAAAGTTTCCATATGTTGTGCTCATAGATCACTGCTCTTCAGATTTTTCTTACTCCAACACATCTCAGGGTGTTAACTCACATGAGCCTAGTTTTGGTTTGCTATGTGGCACATGGGAATATAGTTATTATGGGAATTTTTGTTAATTCAAGTAAGCCTTTTCTACTATGGTTCGACCAAAGACGCTTTCAACTAACTACAATAATAGAAAAAACTAGAGAAACACAACTTGTTTCTAAAAGCAAAATATTTTCCCCCCTTGACGTGCTTGTGGATTGTCACCTGTTCTATTTATGAATTGGTCGTAACACTTGGGTCATTACCTCAAAAGATGTGTTGAACTAGGGAAATAGCTATGACTCTAAAAAGGTGGAATAGTATAAACGTAAGAGGTGGTGTCTGTAGTTACATTTTTATTGTTTGGGTGCTTTTTGAGTGTGATCATGAGTTTCTGCGTGTGTTATATTCATAAATGTGAGTACCGCATAAGTGTTCATTTCTTTATCCAGTCCACAAGCATAATTCATTATCCATTTCTTAAGTTCTTAACCCACAAGTTGGAAGAAGTTCAATTTGTAGAAGTGGAGGAACACCAAAATATCTTCTGTAATCCACTTATTATTTGCGACAGAAAACCAATAACAATTGCAATTGTAATATTTATTTGAAATGAAAAGTCATGGAACTTGTTCTTAAGCACTTATAATCTGGGCTATGCAGAGATTGATGTATGAGCAGGAGAGTGGCCTGTTTGATTTTAGACGAACAGAAAACTCTTCCTTGTTGTTGGTGATCGATAGGAGGGATGATCCTGTTACACCTTTACTTAACCAGTGGACCTACCAGGTTACCTGAAAAGACTTTATCTGTTTTTCCTGTTCAAACGTACTTTTCTTAGTTTACAATTGGTCTTATATGGATTGCAGGCAATGGTTCATGAGCTTATTGGAATCGAGAACAACAAGGTGGATCTTAGGGGATTTGCTAATGTACCTAAAGACCAGCAGGTTAATAAATGTTGAATTTCTCTTGTGTAATACAATGAAACAGTTGTTAAGTATTTTTTTTAATGTTGATCCATTTCAAATATACTTACATAGGAGGTGGTTCTATCATCGGTTCAAGATGATTTTTTTAGAGCTAACATGTTTGAGAACTTTGGGGACCTCGGTATGAACCTCAAAAGAATGGTAGATGACTTTCAGCATCTTTCTAAGAACAGCCTTAATCTCCAGAGCATAGGTAATTTATACTTCATTTTGTGTTATATCCTGTGAAATAAATAAAACATTGAAAAAAAAAATGTAATATGCCAATAGGATTTTGCAAAATCTAATGCGTTAGTGGTTTTAGGTGACATGGCAAAGTTCGTGAGCAACTATCCAGAATATCGAAAGACACATGGAAATGTAACGAAACATGTCAATCTGGTGAGCGAGCTGAGCAGAATTGTGGAGGAAAGGAAACTTATGCTAGTTTCACAGACAGAACAAGAGCTAGCATGTACTAGTGGACAAGCAGCAGCCTTTGAGGTATGCATTTTCATGCACATATAGTATATCATGCAATCAGTGGCAACTGGCCCTTAATATCCTATGTGCATTTTCTTGCTTTGGACATAGCACATAGTTACCAAAACTTGAGTGTGCTGATAAGGCTTTTCCTTTTCATGTAATACATTTAGCTTATGTTAACAAATATATTCCATGTAGCCACGCAGTATATTATTATATGACACAAATTATTAAATTATCATTCATTAGCTGCAGCCATGAGGTTTATGTAATTCTAGATTACCTGTAAGAACTTTGTCAGTTTAACCAGTTGACTTGTGGTGCTGAGTTGGCACCTACAAATCTCGGTGATGTCTAGCAAGTCTTAGTCTCCGCCCCTTCCAATTTCATCTTCAACTATGATTGTAAGTGAAATAGTTTTCCTATCCACTCAAATATGACAAATCAATCCAAGTGACCACAAGAAAACTGGAACTACGCAAACTTTGTGGGTGTAAGTTTGTCCAGCTCATTCCCCTGTCTTTTTCCTCTTCTGTTTTCGTTGGTCCCTAGAACTTGGAAAACTGAGATCCGTTAACTGTTTTCAATGTATTGAACTAATCATACACTTGTGATTCATTGTTACTCGCAAAAGAAAGAAAAAAAGCTTGTGTTGTGTCTGCTGATGAGTGATGAGTTTATGCCTGTACATGTTAAAGGTAGCATTGAGGATCTGGATCTACCAGTTGAAATATTAACTAAAGCTGTTCTCTTTTATGCTAATTACTGATGAGTTTATACAGTTATATTATACCTATGTGTCCAAGGTGACATTGAGGATCTGGGGTCTATGTCTGTACAGAAGTATACTGACTGAAATTGCCCAAAATTGTTCAGAACCCATCTTCATGCTTTTAGGTTGGATGTCTTATTTAATGTAACTGTGGGCTTCGGAAAGTTGGTTGTAAGCTTCCTAAGTTCATTGCCTAAGGATTTGATGTTAACTTAAAAATGAGAATATACTTTGTTTTGCTTTATTTTTACCTCTGCATGGGTCAAAACTATGCTTCTTCTTACAACTGTTGACCTGTTGATTTTCTGCAGGCTGTCACTTCCTTGCTAAACAATGAAAGTGTATCTGATATTGACCGCTTGCGATTAGTAATGCTCTATGCTTTGCGGTATGAAAAAGAGAGTCCAGTTCAATTGATGCAACTTTTCAACAAATTGGCTTCTCATTCTGCCAAATACAAATCAGGGGTATGTAAATTTCACTAGTTTTTGTGCTAGATCATGCTTTTCTCATAAGTTCTATTGAGTCACACATGATGCTTTGGTTCCGTCTCTGTTAATTGCCTTTCTAGTACATTTTCCCCCTCTTTTGGAGGAAGATGGGTTTGAATCATAAATGTTTCATGTTTGCACTACTGACATAATTTGAACATGCTTTCTCTTCATAGCAATAACATTTGTTTGGCTTGTGGCCTATGGAGTCTCCTATAATTTGTCTTCTGAAATACATCCTGAGTCTGCTATAATTTGTCTTCTGAAATACATCCTTGATTCCCTGTGATATATTCGTAATACTGATCAGTTATTGGATCTGCTTACAGCTGATGTTCTATTCAGTTTCCTTTGGCTAGTAACCAGGGTTCAGTTTTACTTGGTCGTAGCTTGAAAGTTAGCTCTTTGAACTGATGGTACCTGTAATAAGTGATTAGTCCTTTTTGGCTAGATATAAAAAGCAATGCCATCGAATTAGCCATTTGAGCTGTGTAAGGCCAGGGTAACAAAACGAAGGACAGGAAAAAAAACAAGCTGATAAGAAAGCCACTGGAGACTAGCTGATTGCGCCTTGTATCTATCCTAGCATTACCAGTCAAGGTCTATTCTTCTAAGGAGAACTGCTTAATGGAACCCTGCTTATGGTTGTTATCAGTTGGCACAGGACAAAACCAGACAGCTGTTTGCATGTATTAAAATGTCATGAATGATAGGGTGTTTGTGGTTACAATCTCATTTTACAATGGTTCTCTAGATTTGAGATATACATGGTTCCTTGCTTTTCAGAAAACATAGTTTCTGTAGGCTTTACTGTGTCTCTTATTTGAATTTATTTGGGCTTTTTTTTTTTCTCGAACACGCAGGAGAGTTGCGTATCATTTCATTAAGAAGAGAGAAGAAATTGTACAAAAGGGAGGGAAAGGAGTAGAGACTCCTAGCACCTCAACCCAGAGAAATACACACCCCACTTGATTACTTATTACAATTACAAGAAGAAACATAATTGATTTTGGTTTTGAACACTAGATTTCTATTTTATATTATGTCTTTTCAAGGAACAGGAGTTACTGGGATCTCATTTAATTGACTGCCTATTGGCTTTATATTGGAGATGAAAGATGGGGTGCATTATTATTTTTTGCCAGTCCTTCACAAGTCCAATGAGCGTTACTATTTTTTATGCAGCTTGTTCAATTCCTCCTTAAGCAAGCTGGCGTTGATAAGAGAACAGGCGACTTGTATGGGAACCGTGATCTGTTAAATATTGCTCGCAATATGGCTCGTGGGCTTAAGGTTTGCATAAAAGTTCTACAAATGAATGTTACATAAAATATTGCTTCTTCTGATGCCCTTATTTGTTGCAGGGAGTTGAGAATGTCTACACCCAACACCAGCCTCTTATCGTCCAAACGATGGAAGGAATTGTGAAAGGGAGGTTGCGAGATGTTGACTATCCACTTGTTGGCAATCATTTCCAGCAGGGCAGGTTAGTCCGAAATGGGTTGTGTTTTGTGAAATTAATTAGAAGATTTTTATTGTGGGTATGAATGATAGACCCTTCCTTGAGCTCCTTGTGAAACAAAGCTAAATAATTTCTTGGGGCATTTCAAATCAATAACCTTTAGTTCTCTGGAACCCTTTCTTTTTGTCAATAGTGGTTGTTTAATTTGAAATGTATACTTTTACTGTAGTGGTTGCTGAGAGTGTTGCTTTTCACAGGCCTCAAGATGTTGTCATATTCATTGTTGGAGGGACAACTTACGAGGAAGCAAGATTGGTAGCCCTTTATAATGCAGCAAATCCGGGAGTTCGTTTCTTCCTTGGAGGTTCAGTGGTTCTAAATTCAAAGAGGTATCAACTATGCATCAATGTTTCCTTTCATATGATTATTTGGAGGGATTTGCCCAGGGTTTTGGAAACCCTCATGTTTTTGCACAGATTTTCTCAAATGTCTGATGTATTGCAGATTTCTTGAAGATTTGGGAGAGGCACAAAGGATATCAAAATCAAGCACTATAATATGAGCTGAATGGTTTCATCTCTTGTTTGAAGAGTACCATAGTATGATAATTGACAGTGTTGACTCCACTTTTGCACAGAATCAAATTTGTGATAAATCCGTAACATAGTTCTAGGTGCATAGAATCAAATTTCTTGAAGATCTGTAGCTGCTCCAGCTGCTATATGTTTTCATGGTCATTATTTTTTCCCCTTATGTAGTTGAAGCAATGATCTAGATTTTGTTGAAACATGTTCTTTTTTTGTCTCGTTACGATTGTTGATAGAGATTGACAAATTGTACCGTTGCGTCGTATATGCTGTAACACCCTAGTGTTAAGCATGCATTGGGCACTTGCATTCATGAGCATGAGCATCATTTGAGCATCCATGAGCATAAGCATATGAAGTATTATCTCAATCACCTTACTTTTGTTACATGTGATGATAGCTATATGCATGTATATGCTTGCCATTGTGTGTGACCAATGCATGAAATGCTTGTGGGGCCATAGAAACACCTTAACATGTTTAGGATGGTACATGGAACAAGTATGGTATTCATGACATGGACCAAAACAGCCCCCAAGTCATAATTATTCTAGAAACTCTAATTTTCAAGTTACTAGTTTGACCAAAGTTGAACTATGATTTAGAGTGCTTGCATGGCAGTGCACCCTTAAGTAAAGTTGTAGTACTTGACTAGAGTAACAACTTTCATTTTTGGGCTAAGATCTAATTCAGTGCATAGTATGCTCAAAACAGCTCACAAGTAGCAAGAAAATACTGTTTCGGGATCTAGAAATTTTCGAAGTCTTGGAATGACTTTCAGTTTCATCCTACTCTTTGACGCATTGCAGTTTGAAAACCATGGCGATCTAGACCAAACCCATAGAAGCAAAGTTGGAGTTTACATGTAGCTCTACAACTTTTGTTAATGAAGTTTTTGCAAAGGACGAACGGATTAGGAGATAGAGGTGGAGGAAGTCGCGCTGTCAGTCGGTTCATCAGAGTCTACTGGCCGCAAACGCGCGCGGCGCCAGTGGCAGACCGCGCCAGGCCGCCACGTGGTGGCCGTACGCCGGCGACGGCCGGGTCGGTCGACCAGTGCGCGGACAAGAGGGCCGTGCCCCTACTGCTCGCTTTCACTCGCCTCGCTTCACTCTCTCTCCCTTTCATTGTGGCGAAGCCGAGCGCCATTGTCGCCGTGAGCTTCGTCGAGCTCGCGCGCAGCGCTCACTGCTCCATTTTCAAATTGCCCGCGCCAATAGCTCCGCCTTGCTCCGCTCGACCACCTCGACCCAGTAGAGCCACCGTTCGAGCCCAAGATAAAGGCCTACGGCTGTTTTCGCCATCGCGGACGCCATTGGCGCCGTCGAGCTCGAGCTCACCGTGATCGTGCTCACCGGAGCCCTCGCGTCTTCTCTCTTCTCGTGTTAGGGTTAGGTTAGAGCTAGGTCTAGCTCGAGGCAAGAGCTTAAGGCCGATCCCGACCTCGTCGGAGTGGAACGCCACTGTGCCGCCACCGTGCTCACGTCGTCGTGCCGCAATGCACGCGGCTGTGCCTCACCGGCACCCTCGCAAGCCCCAATCCAAACCCTAGGTCCGCTAGGTCCCAGCAGAGGTGTAGCGGAGCCCGTCCGAGCTCGCCGTGGCTGGAGATAGCCGGTGCGCCGCCACGCATCGCCGCCGAGCCGCCATCGCCTCCGTTGAGCTAGCTTCGACGAGTCTCTGAGCCAACCGAGGGTACCACTCGACGCGGGATGTCGAGTAGGTCACGATAGTGAAGACACTACCACTGAAGACCTTGCCGTCAGCGAGCTTTTCGTCGGTCAATCGTCGGTCTACTTTGGTGTGGCTGACCTGTGGGGTGAGTTGACTCTCGAGGCCCACACGTCAGTCACAGCGGGGTGTATGAACCAGGTGCATCTAGCAGCTGAGCTCGATCTGAAATTCGATTTTCTTTATTTATTATTCCAGATTTTGTAGCAAACTTCAAAAATTCATATCTAGAGCTAGGAGTGTCCAAATTGAGTGAACCAAATTTTGTTGGATTCTTCATGAAGTGTACTATTTGATAAAAATATGAAACCTACTGTTTGGGATATTTTTCTAGGGGAATTAAATTGAGCTAGATAAGTGCCTTTAAATTTATTTCCATCTTGTAAAATACATATCTTGAGCTAGGGAAGTGTAAAAATTATGATTCTAATTTTACTGGCCTTGTGTTGACATGCTCTAGCTAGAAAAAATACTAAACCTATAATAGGTATACTTAAAATATGGTCTTCCTATTTAACCTTGATTAATTGCTAGTTTCTAGTGAAAATAAATGGGGGTAAAAATACATAACTTATGATCATACAAATTTTTACACAGTGTTATGGTACTAGGATGAAAGTAAAAAAATATGAAATATGTTGTTTGACACTTTTCACTAGGGTAAACTATTTTTGCTAAAATAATCCTATGCAATTTGTCATTTTTGTAGAGATGGCTATACTTATCCAAATGGTATGAAATTTGTATAGTAAACTTTTGGGGTGATATGTAGGCTAGTGTAATTTTCTCAGAATTTACTGTGCACTTTTGATATATGTTCCTTATTTCACCTTAGTGTCCAAATAAATTAATAAAGGCATTTAAATAATTTATTTGGGCTTGACCATTATGTTTTCTAAAGTGTATATGATGTCTATGAACTGTTGGTACCATTGGTTGTGCCCAGATTTGATTGCTTGTATGCAGTGAAATATTAATTGCTCTATAATTCGATTATAGTCACTGTTTTGGTACAGTTTCTGTTGTTAAGTAAATTGCATGGGTAAATGATGGTTGTTGTGAACCTTGTCAATAACAAAGTTGTAGATAACTTACTTATCTTGCTTGTGTCAAATTTTCATGGCAATAGGTTAAGTGGTTTGAGAGTTATAGGTGTTAGAAGTTGGTCTCTAGAGATGCTTATTCTCTGGAATTTCTGGACAGATCTGGAAATTTACTTTGTTTAACCTTGATATCCATTGAATCATCTTGAGATGACTATAAAAAAGTTGTAGACAGTTTTATAAGCTTTCCAGAAAGTCCAAGATCATAGTATTTGGTTGAGTAGAACTCTAGATATGGCCAAAATAAGAAGCTGTTGTTTACAGTCCAGGAAATGACTAAGTCAAATTGTAATTGTTTGTCTTATGTGATGCTTGTGTAGATGCTTAGGCTAATTGAGTTTAGTTGTTAGCTGCAGGTTCTAAGCCTCTTACTAATGATGAACAACTTTACCTTAGGTTACTAGAACTTGGTGAGTGTATGTTTCTTGTACTATAGAAGAGATACGCACCTACTCAGTAAAGATCAACTAGAAGAAAGTTATACATCTACTTGGTCGACGAATGTTAAACTTATCATACATCTCGAGGATAACTATGCTCATGCGTATACACTTTATCATGTCATCTCATCTCTTATGCATTCATGATACTCATTTATGCATATGCATGCAATAGGTTCCCCGGAAGGAGTGACGCTACTCGAGTTCGAACCCGAGCGTCAAGAGGAGCAGCAGGCAGTCCAGGAGCAGGAGGTTCAAACGGAAGGAGGAGTCAATGTGGAAGATCTTCCTGAGTGTCCTGATCACCAACCTTCCTCGTTTCTAAAAGGCAAGCCCCGGAGCATTCTAAGCCTCCTATATTTTCTAAATATCAACTTGAGTCCTTTTATGTTGATGCATTAAGTACTAGAGGTTGATTAGAACCACTTGCTGCATATACTTTCCTTGCCTAGACAAATATATCTTGAATCCTTTGTAGGTACAGAATCGAATATATGCTTAGCCATGCTTAGTCCGATAGAAGCCGGGTGATTTTCTGTCACCTACAAGATATAGGTAGATATCTGGTCACGGTTGGCTATAATTGCTATCGTGGAAATAACCATGTGTTGATGAATAAAAGGAGACCGGGCGGGATTGTGATAGAGAAGCAACAAGGCATGGAGGTCTTGGTTCCTATTTATCCCCGTCTGTGTCGGTTAAGGACCGATTCGTTCTACGTCCTCATGTCATGTTGAATGCATGCCTAGCACTTAGTTGGTTGGAGAAGCCGTTCCGATCGCGAAGCCGAGTAGCTCAACTCAGGCCGAGACTCGATAAGTGAAAGTGCGCACACTGGAGGAAGTAAGGATGTGCGGGGAGCTAGTGGCGTGTGTCCAAGGGCAGGCCAGACCTTTACTTCCTAGCTGACTGGTAGTATCCCTGAGGGTGCGGCGCTGATCGGACCCACGACTGTACCGGAGTTGTACCAAAGGTGACCCGACGCGATTCCGACGGGGGAAGTATGGGTTTGTGTTAGGAATAACTCCCCAGCTGGTTGGAATCAATTTGAGTCACCGTCTCTTCCAGATAGTGAGAACTTTACTGAACAGCGGCAGCGTAGCATTAATTGATGGAACTTGATGGTTATGATGATGCTCAAATTAATACACCGAATATGGTTACTAATGCTTGTTAGTTTAATCACATGATTGCTCTAGTACAAGTGCTAATCTAGAGATGCTTAATTGAATAGGTATTCAATTTGATGTTAAAGATATTAAATCTCCAAGTTATGTTACTTAAGCCTTTATGCAAAATGTTGTCAAGCTAAATCCACCGATAAAGCCTTCCATACTCCTTGGTGTCATATTATTTCTAGTTTATGATGAGTAAGTCTAGCTGAGTACATTCTGGTAATCATAGTTTATTCCCTCTTGTTGCAGATGATATGATGTATCATGGATACTGTAAGAAATGCCTTCATCCTGTCGTGGATGAGGACTAAACCATGGGGCATGGTACTCCTAAGTTATCCTCTCTGTTATGCTTTTGTTAGAAATGATCATGGTACTAGTATGTGTAAGGGACCGTGACGCCTAAGAGGGGGGAAGTGAATTAGGCAACTTAAAACTAACTCTAAACTATGTCATCTTTTTCTACCCTTAGCAAAACCTATGCAAACGATAAACTATCTAAATGTGTAACTATGGTTTTGCTAGT